CCAACATGTCTGCGCCCTGATCCGACGCCACTGTAGAATACCCGAGCCCTAATAGGTAAAAGACCGGTACAACAGAACAGACTTTATTGACCAATCAGAAGCCAGAGCCACGCGTCAGGCGCCTTCCATCCGAGTCCACCGCGCTGGCCACGCCGCTCATTATATACTGCTCCTCAGTCGTGTCCTTCTCTGGTTGGCTGCCTTTCTTTCCCGCATGCCATTCTATCGCAGAGAGACACGGGATTGGCTGAGGCCAGGTGGTCCAACATGTCTGCGCCCGAAACCGACGCCACACCACACCACACCACAGTACACACTACTTGTGCAATTTGGGCTTCAGATATGTGTTCTGAAGCGATTTATAACGAAGCATATGGTGTTGAAAAAGAAAATAAAGCCATAATTCTGTACAAAAACGTGGATGATATAACAGATATAAATGTTTTACACAAAGGCTTCAATATCCACAATGAGCCGAAAAACTACCTGAGTTTTCGGACAAACATCGAGAAAATAATATATCACGCTGTCACTGCTGATGCAGCTAAGTCACCGTACACGAGGTTTGCCGTTTTAATATTTTTATTACTTTAGCTTCAAAACTGCCAACAAGTACCTGCCGAGGCTTAGTGAATTTGATGTTTTGGCGGGTATGCGCGTAAGCTTCTATTCCGTCGATGTATACTTTTAGCCTCTCAAAGCTCTAATTGAAATGGTTTTTGATCCAACTAGTCGTACGTCAACTATTATTCATCGCGTTGGGGATTTACTTCTTTTCGATGAATTCGATATTGATTCGTTTATGCTCACCAGTCCATCTTACGCAAGTGGAATGTTATTCACTTATTTGTTGTTTAGAGGCACTGGCCATGGCTTGAAGAATTCATGCATCAACACAAACTTTCCATTAACGGAGCAGAATTTACGAGACATTCTTTAATGATGCGTGACCTCTACATTAAATTCCTTTACCACACGTATGTCCGTAGTATTTTTTTTATCAAGACCTTTAGGGTTGGACAGAGGACTCCAATCACTGGTGATTTTGCACAGAAAATGCTGAAATTTGGCACAGAAACTGCTGATGATCGTGCTATTGATAGTACTAACGGCACGTCAACAGCGATTGTTTCTTCGTTGCCTCCAGAATCACTCGTTTCTAATCCGTCACAGAATTTTCCACCCACATCTTCAAAGGCCAATCTTCCGCCCAAGTCGAAATTCCATCAGAACTCGGATGACTTTTTGCGTTTGGCGAAGTGGAAAATAAATGATTTAAGTTTCCTTGTTGGTTCGGACCTAGCAATATTTGGAACTAAGCTACATCCCTGTATCAGCTTGCGACTGAGGTAGTTTTATGCCTTGATGAGCCCCTTGGGTTCACCATGCGTTATTCAAATGTCTTTATAATCAACATCTTCTTTTCACGCTGTGCTTAAATTATTTTTTTCGAAGCAGTCCGAATGATCTAATTGGAAACTCTGTAACTTGTCTTTTAAAATGCATTGTCTTAACGGAATCGGTTTCATATGTATCTCCAACACTTTTAATATTTAACGCTTTGTACGTAAACTAACTCCAAACTGAGTAGCGTCTTTTGATCCCGATTGGCTCACTTGGCTCTTCCTCTAGTTGTTGGAAATGATGCTAATCGGGCGGTTACTCGACCTTGTACGGTAGCTGGGATAAGAGCTCCTAGCACTCATTTTCCAAGATGCCACAGGAATAATACACGTAATTAAATCGTGTACATCCTTTTATCTTGTATCGCAATGTTTTTTGTGTTTCTACTTAATTTTTTGTTCCTGTATTCTTTTCTTTATACCGAGTGCTATGGTAAATTTTTCCATGGCGCGGATAACTGCTGCTGTCGTACATGTTTAAAATAGCCTTTCCACCGCCTTTAATGGCTGATATTCCTATGTGTCACTCTATTGATTTCTTTGTTATATTTAATTGCAAACTGATGGCTGATCTGCACGCATTTTGTGTACGGTGTCAATGTTTATCCTCGTTATTTCGTTATGATTTGATTACGTTTTGATATTTGTGTGAGACGCATTTTAGTTTTTCAGTCATATCAGATTAGTACAAAGTAATCTCCTTTTTATTGTAAGGGCTTTAGGTCATATCTACCAAGATTTTGTTTTTTATTAGGGTTTTGGATATCTCATTAACAAATTTGTACAACGGACGTTATAGTAACGACTAGATTTTTTAAGCGAAAATATTTTAAAATGACATTGAGTTGTTTCAACCTAATAATTACGGCTAAATATCCGGGTCGGCATTATGCTTGATTCTTGCAAATGAACTACTTTCTCTTCTACTCTGGCCTTATATAAACGTGATTCTGGTTTCAGAGTTCATCTAATTTGTTTTTGAACTTCTGACAACGCTTTTCCCCTCCAATATTTAGCCCCCTTCACGAGCCCATCAACGTGCTGACCGGGATCGACATGTGGTTGGAGAACATTCTCAATGAAGTGCCGGAAGTGGCGATGTGCTTTCACAATGAGGGAATTGTTATGCAGGAGTATGAGTTGTACAAAACCGCCGACCTACCCAAGCTAGCCGGTTTTCAAAAAGACCACGTTATTCGCATCCTTAATAACCTAGTTATGTTTTTTAAAAACAATGCTACACAGGAAGGGCACACCTATTGGCTTGTAAAAGAGGCTGGATTCGATGTAGTCAAGCTGTATGATCTAACTGTACTTTGTGAGAAATCAGAAATGCCTGTTGTTGAAGGACAGGTGGAAGAGACGGACAGTGGGGACTGGAACTCAAACGGTAAGTGGTTTATTCTATCGTTCGGGAAGACTGGTGTGTTATAAACAATAGCTTTTTAAATGTTTATTTCTCATGTATTATTTTGACTTGTTGCTGTTTTGCTGGAAGTCAGATAGCCTATCCCCTTCGGGGTATCATGTAGCAATACGAAATAGCCATAAATTTGTTACAGATGCAGTCTGCGATAAGTGTTAGCTCTTCCCAAGGAGGACATTGTAAGTCCTCAAAATTTGTATGCATAAAAAGTAGGAATGGCAAAATTCCATAACCGAGCTCAGTATTTATGATGCTCAGTGTGTTTTGCTTATTGAATTCCTTGAAATAATTCCACTCAAAGTTACTTTTGCTAAGGGTCGGTTGTGAGGTTTCAAAGTACCACCAAATTGTGAGAAACTTCTCCGCAGAAGCGAAAGAGGTTAATCTGCAATGTTATTTTTGAGTACCTAATTCAAACCGATGATTTTTATTCGCCACATATTTGTGTCCATATGAATTCCCAGTAAATAATCCTTTTTAATGTGAACACAATTTGACTACAGTGTTGTTCGTTGACATGAAATTTAGTCATGCATTTTCCCAACCTTTATTCACTAAAAGAACGTCTCCTGCCAATCATAAACACAGATGAATCTTGGATGCCAATTTCCTTACAATTTTCTTCCTACGCCTGCCTTGTGGCGTAGACCGTGGGGTGATTATGCATGTTCTGACTGCTGTTTAGTTGAAACCAGGTTTTTGCAACGGAATAAAAATATATTTTAAGTGGACTTTTAAATGCTGCAATGCGGTTGAAATATCTTTGAAGTTATGTAAAGTATTAATTCATGAATGACCACTATCCGCCTCGATTCTTACAATGCCTTTAATGGCGTCGTGATTTCGTTGTGAAAAATGCAGAAGAATTGATCCTTCAGTTGATTTGACACAGCCACTTTTTTATTCCGAATAAATTCCCTTTTCATAAAGTGGGCCTAAATATTTGTGGAAGTTTTCGTCGGAAACAGTTTCTTCGCACATTAATAAACTTTCTGGTTGTTTGGTGCAACAAGTCAATCTCACCTTTCAATTATAAATAACGTGCTGAGTAATCTACTTTCTCATGCACTAACTACATATATGTGTGAAAGTTCGCCCAAAACAAACACCTACTTTGCTTTGACTTTGGCTGTTTTGTTATTCTTGCAGGAGTGAATCCTTTTATTCTACCAGTGGCAACCCTCTGCTTCAAACTGGCTGAGCATCGAGTGCGTCAACGCGACCTATATCTAAAGCGCCAAGCCTCTATTGGCGTCAGTAATCCTCAGAAAGTTGATTCTCCACAAGATGATATGGATAATTATGTAAAGGACCTGCGTTCATTTCTGACTGATGTGTTGCGCCTACTAAAAAACTGCCTCAATCTAATTACGACAATTGAAAATGGGGAGGGCGACGTTTTTGAGTGGGAGCAGCCTTTGCCGGGCTCAAGATCGACCTCGCCGAGTCGACCACCACCAATCAAACCCTACGCGGACCTAAAGTCAAGAGCTCTGCTCTTGCTTTGTCGACTGTACCTGTCAACCCCTCCGGAAGATATTATTGCTTGTGCTTCGTCGGTGCTAAAACCCACACCTCCTGGACCAGAGGCAAGTTCTTTTTGTTTCATCTTGCTAGGGATGTCACGACGCGGCTGTTCATGCGTGTTATTCATTTACCTAAACAGACCGTAGTTTCGGTTCGGTGTTATCGGCTTTGTTAAAGTACAAATACTACAAATCGATGCATTAAAATTCTTTATGGATGGATCATGCAAGGCCAAGCCGGCTTCCGTCTCTCCATGCATTTCTTCATTTTGGGCCGAGTAGCATGGAAAACGCGGAAGATGTAAATAAAACCGTGAAAAATACATTGTTATAACATTGGAACCAAAATTACGTTTCGCCAATCTTTTGGGCGATTCTCTTTTGAAGTTGCATAGCCGATGCTGCTAATTTTATCTATGACGCAACTAAATTTTCTTGCATTTTCTAGTGTTATTTAGGCTACACTTGCGATAACCGACACACGTTCTGTGAAGGACAAGTGACACAAGTAGCCAGTTGCGAGAAACCCGTTTTCCTACCCCGCTTTCTATTATTGTTTCAATTAAAGTCATATTTTACTCATGAAAATCACTTGATGCCTATTAACCTCCATCACTTTAAACGATCAAATTATGCGATTCATTGAGCTATTTTCTGTGGTAATAAAAAAGAGGGATTCCCTGGTACACCATCTGTCTCCGTGTTTCGCGCCAATTGAACTAAATCGCCTAGCACCTGCTTGTAAATTAAACAAACAGGCGACGAATTTGGGTGGCCTACTCTATCTCCCTCTTGTTCTGTCGCGGTGGTATGTGCCTAAAGATAGTCTCTTAATTAGGTGTTATTTCAACGATACAGGTGGTGAGTGTGAACGTGGCCGAATTCGCCTCGGAGGCTGGGGTTTCCGCTGATTCGACTGACGCCGTCTACCCGCCCGTATCCGACAGCGCAAAGTCGCCATCGTCGGCGAGACGCCAAGCCACCACCACCTCGCTTCTGGGTGACTCCATCATTGAAGCCTTCCGTTCTCCCCAAACAGACCGCGTGTCCATCCTTGCTATGACGGTAGGCAAATTTGTCGACACACCTGGGTTTAAGTACTGCAGAAGATCTGTTATGTTTGAGTTTCGATCAAAAATTATGCATTACTTTAAAATCGCCACGATTTCGGTTAGCTGTGACCAGTTTTGATGTTACAACCGCTTCTTTGCGTCAATTATGGCGGAATAAGCAGTAATGTCTCAATTAGATACATTGCCATCGGTGCTTCACCGCCTTTTTGGCGTCATTCGGAAATTCCGTTTTTTTCTCTTATTCCCGAGTGTTTCTGGTCTAAGTCGTGCGTTAAAAATTCACATAAAACAGACTTCTATTCCGCTTTGCTTACCTACGTCGATTTGTGGGATTCCGCGGTGTTGATTTTCCTCAAAAATACTTTAATCCTATCATACTTATTTAAATATGTCCATTCAAGTTTAGCGATACGGTCGCATTCATTCTTGAGTCGAATCATATTTGTGGGTGGTTTTTGTGAAAGTTCCATGTCTTACCACAGCCAGTTTTGAGTTGCTGCTAGGGCATAACATTTTACTTTGTACGCTTGCAAAATTGAAGTAATTAGGTGTGTTTTTAGGTTTGATCTGACCTTGAAGTGGCCATTGTTCGCGGATCCTACTTTAAAAAGTTATGCCCGGGTACGACGAAGTATCTAGTTCGAAAATTCCCTCAAATCACGCCACATGACACTTAACTCTAGTCGTACTCGCTACCTGTTATGTGGATTTTTAAAAAAAAATATTTCACATATTTGCGATTGGATTAAACGATCTTTTTATTCCCTACAACTTGAGTATAATTCTAACTCTATTGAGAAACCTAGTCTTAAGTAACGCTGTTTGTGTTAAGGCTCTTCATCCACAAATAAGGCTCATGACTAATCGATATCCCTGTTTACATAAAATACACTACAATATTTGCTTACCCCCCTTTGTCTTGTCAGCTTGCAGAAACAGTGCACCCAATGCTCCCCGGTGTCGGGGTTAACATCGACGTCGGCGATCCGATCACTTCGGCCGATTTCTGGGGCACCCAGCCCATCGGTGCTCCAAGAGGTGGTCGGTTGGAAATTGTGCCCGGTGGGGAAGAGCGCTGGGTCCACAGACGCAAAGTGGCCGGCGAAATGTTGCCGCTCCTGCTTGCAAAATATGCCCTCACTCGCGCCAGCCGACTGTGGGCCAGAGTTTTCGGCTCCGGGGCGTCTCCCGCCAGTCTCAATCAGACCAGTGCTTTTCGCCTCTACGAGTGCGCTCGACTGTCTCTCATGTCACTTGTACTCTTTGGTATGCTCTTTTTGGACACCACTGTGCTTCCCTCCTGCACCACGTTTTTTGACCAATTCGTTTTGTTTCTTTGACGTGTTGACCTTCCGCTTCCAACTCCTTACGCACGTACAAACCAGTTTTGCGTTGTTTGCACTCTTCCGTCGTTATGACTTGTTCTAAAATTAAGAGCCAAACGCCAACATTTAATTAGGCCAAAGATGTTCACTTTCATACTTTCTAAAATCATTCAATCGAGGGTGGACCTTTGAGTCATCCTGCTGTTTGAAAAAGCCCCATCGTCTAATAGCCATCGTACACTCGTCTCAATACACTAGCACTTTTAGGTTTTGGAAAAGTGAAAGCCACTTGTTTTTTACTTCTCGTATTTGGTCCCTTCATGCAAGCGGTTGAAGGATCCCTGAAGCCGGTACAACTTATGCCAATTCGGGCATATTCGATCCTTAATCAATTATGCCGCCTTTTCTCTTCACACTGTTTTATTTCATTACCGCTTAATATTTTACTTCCGTTCTGCGAGGTTTTCAGTTCAACTTTTTTTTTAAAATCAATCTTTTTTTATTCTGTGTACCTGCTGTGTTGCCCGCTCAGCGGAGATGGTATCTGTGGTAGTGTCGCTTGCCTCAAGTCACCACCACACAAACCCACTAGTGTTCAAACAAGTTACCACAAGGATTTTTAGACTTCATTTAATTCGGTGTTACGATAAGGCGGACACCTGCCTGAAAATTGGGAACTGCTGCAGAAGTACATTCCACAAATGGTGTTATCTTCTATTACGTACCTTGAATGGAATTTCGACAAAATGGCATATAACTGTATTTCGCTTGCACGTTTTCATTCTGATCAGCACTGTAATCTCACTTCTTTCAGAGCATCTCGCAGCGGATGAAGCTAGAGAGGGAAAAGAACCAAGCACGGAGCCCGTGTGTAGGTTCTGTCATCGTGCCTCACAAGTAAGCAGACACCCCCATTCAGAATACCTGGTTCGTCAACTCCCAATGGCCGCGCGTCGACTCTATGTGCTAGTCATTCATGGATTGAACGACGCGCGCAAACTTGGGGCCCAGCTATCTATTCCTTCACCTAATTCTGCTAGGTACAATTCGGAGGATCCTAATAATGTGCTGATGCGCCCGACTCTCGAGCACATCTGTCCCGAAGGCTCACGTTTCATGTCTCCCGTTTTACAAGCTGTTGTCTTGGGGCCAACGCATCATGAACACGTCTGCTCCGAGACTGAGTCTTGCGTAAGAAATGTCTTGTTTTTATCTGTCGCCACTGGCTTTGTTTTACTGCCTAGGTTATCTATTTACCTGGACGTCTGTAGCCTGATCACGAATACTTGCCGCCCACATTTTTGAAAAAAAAAAGCGATTCCTCTCGCTTGTTTTGCTACCCTTTTCTTCAAGCGCTGCACACATACACCCTGAATTCCCCTTTTTTTCCAGGGAAAACTGGGGACACCAGTTTACGGTTTTAAATAATTGCTATTAGCTGTGAGATCGTATCGGTAGGCACCTGGTTGCGACCTGGTGTAGAAAAATCGTTAGACAAGCTGGTAAATTTCTCCCAGCCTCCTCCCTGTCTTCGCAGTTTTTACTTTTTTTTAAAAACACCCAGAAATGGGGTGCAGGTGCATACTCAAACAGTTGTATTGAAATTTGACATTTGTCGAGCTCCAACTTGACGTACAAAATGTGATGCCTTCTAGAAACAAAGCCACTCTTTACATAATTATTTGAAACTCCGTTCACCTAGACTCCCGTAGAGCTTTCTAGAACGTCGCCCGACGCTTTGCAGTTCTTCTACATGAAATTTGTTTTACATTATATCCCACTAGGTGAGTGACCTTGACATATTTAGGCCCCGTCAACAGCATGTACACGTGCCCGCTCTGAGTTTGTAAGCTTCGTGTCATTGTGTTTGAAAGTGATTAAACGCAGTTGAAAGTATGTCACAGAAGGCAAACTTTGTTACAATATTGGGCTGTACTCATTTTTTGTCAATTCCCACGTTCGGATTTTTCACAATGGGAGAACTAGAAGGCCCCCAATTTCAGGCTAAGAAGAAACAGGTCTTTTGTTTCAACAGAGCATCCACCCATTTTGAAATAATCTTGATGCGTGTTTTCGGTTGAGAGGGGACACGGAAACAAGCGAGACCCGAACCCCAAAAGTAGAGTGCGCGCACACTCGCAATCGCTTCGGGTAGAGGAGCTTGAAGGTGGTCCTTTAGTTGGGACGAGGAGGGTCTGGAGGTACGAGGTTCCAGTGAATGTCCCCACAATGCAGCTCAGGAAGTGGCCATCACAAAGCTCTGAGCAGCAGAATTTGTCTGTAACTGACTTCATTGCGTTTGAGTCCATTGTGTGTGCTTTTGTTGGGCAGGCTTTTCTCGTGTGTCGTGGTTTGGAATTTTTTTCACTCTTGAGAATAACCTTATTCCTAAACGGGCTTTCGCTGAAGACTCGGAATTCGTGGTAGGGGTGTGATGATACATCATTCGTTAGTTTTAATCTCATCGCCTTCAAATCAGAAATTTTCGGTCTCTACAAACCCTCAAGTACGTGGAATGAATTCTGTGGAGGTAGTTGGCTGTAATTGTAGCCGTTTTAATCTTTATTTAAAGAGGTAATTCCCAAGTCACCTGAGATATCGGGATGTTATCAGGCAGTTTGACATAATTTCGTCGTCTTTTCGTCACGATGTAGTATTTGTGGCCGAATGTTCCAAGCGTATTTTCTTTGTGTAGATTCGCTTCTCAGTGAATGTCCCATTAATAGGAATTCTTGAGCTCTTGTCTGAAATGAAATGGTGGCTAATCTTTAACCTAGTCTGAGATTGTTCCTGTTTCGAATGCACACACATGTAGTTATTTCATATTGCTGTAGTTGTGAGAAATGAGAAAACCGATCTGCCATACTTTTTCCTCTCACAATATCTAACTCCATCGAGGCGTGCCAATCTCACGTCTGCCGTTCACGCACAAGCGTGCACACGTGTGATTTCAGTGCGCTAAGTTTCTGCTTACGATTGGTCGCCCTCATTTTGCCCAAGTTTAGATGCCCTTGTGCAGCCGATTTAGCGAGAGTTTATCATTTTGTCAACGCGCTGCTGTGACTGATGCCTCGCAGTCTCAAGATGCTTTTTTCCGATTGAGAGCAGCGTTCACGATATCCAAACCTGGTGCAGCGCGACCGGTAAATAGGGCAATGGGCCATCAAAATCTTAAAACTGAAAATGTGGCGACAGGTGGTTAATCCCTCTTCCACCTAGTGAGGCTGCCATAACCTTTTTTACGTGCCAATTGACTTCTATTTTACCACAATGCCTGTGCCACGCTCTCCGTCCAAATTACGATAATGCTTTACTGTTATTCGTAGCACTGATTTTTAATTGGTATGTCGAGTTTTGACACAAAAGTTAGGCTAAAGCTAGTGATGTAAATAAGTCCTGTAAAGTGGGAGGAAGCATGAATTGTAGCGCATGCAAGGCAATTTATGAATCGCGGGTTAAGCTTACGTTTGTAGCTAGACTGTGTCACAAAAAAGTTTAACAAATACGATATTATTTTAAACCTTCCGGTATTGCTTGTGTGGATTTTCCGATAAAGCAATACCATTCCATTATTGATAACCAATTGGCTCCATCATCCTCAAATCCTAAATCGGTTTTAAAATAATGTATTTCGGTGCTTATAGGACTTTTCAGACCCTCGGGGATGCGTTCTCACATGTTGGTTGAGTGCACTCGACCTAGCAGCCCACTGTCTACATCGCCTGCTCCCCCTTACCTTGACCTCCACAGACTCCCCCTCCTCCACAATGGCCAGCTTCGGATTACTGCAAGACTTCACCGCCCAATTGCCCATCACCAAAGTTCCCCAATACCTTCCGCTCACACTTAACGACTACATGTTTGCTCTTCGTCGTTACCTTGAACATTTTCCGTCTATGGAGTCGGTAAGTCCTCCGTTATGCAGTTTTTGGTTATTTCTCGCACCTTAAAGGCTTTCATTTTAACAGAGCTTCGTGTGCTTTTATTTCCACATTTAACTGCTTTAGTATATCCTATGATACCCGACCCAACGATTCGACTACTTGAGGTGCAGGAGATTTTTGGTAGACCAAACAAAGCACATGCAACTTTTTTCCTACTTAGCCTCGTTAACTTCGGCGTTAAAACGACTTCCTTCTTAAAGCCCATAATTGCAAATAATCTCTTCTTTTCAACGAATAGTATTTTCATTTTAGGAACAGAACATTGAGATTTATTTCAAAAAACACCTCAAACGTCTGTTTTATTTGCTCCACACGCCGGCCCTTGAGGAGTGTTTGAGTTATGTCCCGGGTGAAATCAGAATTCTTCTTTATACTCTGCGTTTCCAGTTAATCAAAGTTGCCATTGTCAAAATGCCAGACCTCATAAGACCGCCACAGGAATATACAGAAGTAAACGGTCACGTGCTACCTCCAGTTCTCCCTTTGCTGCGGCTGGCAATTGACGCATTAGCACCTGGTTTCACTGCATTCAGCGTGGACCAATGTTCACAGGCTGATTTGGGCTTGCTAAGTAGCATGACCAATGATGTGCTTCGGACAGCTACTGAATATTCAGCTATTGGTAATATTGAATTCTATCGGTCTGAGGTATGAAGTGCTTCATTTTAAATTAGTTGCTCTATCCTGTAACTGCGTTTGCGTATGTTCGTCGTGTCCATGGTCAATTGTCTGATACATGTCTGTTATAGTCTGTGTTTCATCTGAATCGTAGTATTACCCAAGTACGGATTATCTCGTGTTAGAGTTGAATAAGCGACTCTCAGTCTCTTGGCGTTAAAGTCCTTATATTGATTGATTATTCTTTAAGCAGTTTAAATGTGTGTGGCTCCTCTGTCTTAAACAAATTCGGATATGACACACAACACACACTTTATCTCTGTTTTAAGGTTCCGCAACTATGGTTGTTAGACCATATTGCTTCAGTCCTCCGTGCAGTTCAGAAGTTAGTACCTTTCCAATTGAATAGTCTCCTGACAACCGATCTCCTGGAGCCAGGAGGAACCAGCACTCGTCGAAAGTCTGCGGCAGGCGACATCTGTTATCGATTACTTAATGAAGGATACCTAAGTCCGAAGGCCATCCGTGGCATCATATTCTTTCGCCTCCATGTTGTCAAAAATGCGATTTTGTTAATGCAGTATTCTGAGGCAACCAGTTGCCCTGAATCTACTGTAAGGCAAGACAGAACAACTCACTCGTCCAGTTTACTCGGGCAAATGCGAGTGTCTCTTGCGTGGCTCAACAAACACCTCGCCATTTGTTGTAGTCATCAGTCAAACACAGCGGAGGCATTCGATGGTGTGGACGTGACTGAAGATAGTCTGCTTTTCGTTTCAGTTGTTACTAGCATCGTCCAACTGCAAAGCGCTCACATAGGTAAACTTTGTTGCCGTTAATGGCGCGTGCTCTGCTCTGCAATGGTGCTGATATGTGACCAATGTGTTATCCTTCCTCGAGTCTTATGTCATTCTGCAGCAAATGTTTAATTTCGTATGGGCTCTAACAGAATAAGTAGCGAGTTTGTGTCCCCTTGCGTCCTAAATTCTGTTGAAAAAAATCATTGCTAATATTGCTTTTGGACATTTGGAAATTGTGAATAATCGGAAACTAGTAGTAATAGTTCTCCTTTTAATCACGATACAAATTATAATGTACTCTCAGGTACAGGAGTTTTCATGCACTAAGCAATCTCAATTGCACGTTTAGAGTAATTCAATGTATGGGTGGCCTTTTACACTCTGCATCAAACCTTGAAACTAAATATTGTGCTAAACCAAACTGCGTTAACCAGAAGCATTTATCCCTTGTTCCAACATCCTCCCCGATTTCTAGGGGAGTAAGTTTATTGTAATCCCACTAATACTTAATTGTGAAGTATGCGTCTGCGACACAGCTTTATGCCAATATAAGGAGATCAAATTTACGAGTTTCCACTTGAGTTTTCAATGTACAAAAGCCAAGGTTCCTTGTGTGTTACAGTGGTACTCTCAGAAGCCGGAATAACACAAGTACTTAGGGATGCCGTCGCGTCCTTGCCTGTAATCAGGATTCTTTGTAATTGGCTTTCATCTGCTGATGGAGAAAGAAAACGTGAGTGTGAAAATGATACTCGAGTGGAGCTCGCCTACACTCTTTTTCAACTGGCCACCTCCTTGGATTCCCTCTTCGCCGGTCTTTACACGAAGGTTTTGGATGGCGTCCTTGGACGAAAGGGCCGTAGCCGACGGAAACGAGGCGGAAACAGTACGGTTGGCAACGATTCTGACTCATCTAACAACAAACTTGAGTTGTTGGCTAAACTAATTCGTAGTGTATCCTTACACAGAAACAAAGAGGAAATGTGTAATCGGCACACCTCCATCGATGCAGAAAGTTGGGCAAACTGTGTACAGATTCAACTAATTGCAGTTGAACAGTATCTATGCCCGAGGTGATAATTTGATGTCTATTATTTATGTTGCTTTGTATGTACTATCTACGGACTTTACTGATTGAGGTTAGTTTTTTTTGATATTGATTTTAATGACCAGCGGCAGAATTAGCACCCGATTCGGTAACTAGTGCAAATGAATTAGGGTCTAAACAAGTTGATCACTCAGTTGTAACTCGTGTGATTTAGAAACCGTGAGATTAATACTAAAACGTCTTGGCGGGCATAAACAGTCACTTGGGGCTTGTGTCGGTTTATGTTCCTTAATCACGATTGGCATTAGTTACAACAGCGGTAATTGCCCGAAATCGTAATGAATTGATGCTAGTTGTCAGCAACATCTAACATTGAGTGGCCCACACTATTGCAGTTACTCTAGTACCCATGATGGCCACGCCTTGTTGCGTATTTTGAAAAAATTTCCTAAATTAAGTGTGGACTTTGTCGCATAGAGCAGAGGAGTTGCACCTGCCGTATTTTGGTTGTAAAGTCGGGAATATAGGCTCTTGTCAGTATTTTCAATCCATGAACACTTTGATATGTGGTACGCACATGATCGCTAATCAGCTTGAAATGTCAATCATTCGAGTCTCTTACATAGCAAATAGTACACTATCCTTAGTGGGGCCGGGGCGTCTGATCCAACCACGGTCACGATTTACGCTAACTTCACCAAGATTATGGCTAATTTACCTGGAACACTGGCATGCAGATAAATCCTTTTCAGCAGCGCGGGCTCTGATCTAGACGGCTATTTACCAGAAAAATACTATCATGTCGGAATCCCGACAACTTACAAAAGTTACCCCAATAACTAGGGTTGATACGGCAAGAGAAGGGCAGACATTAAAAACACAGGCTTTTTTACATCGAATTCGATCCGATTAGTACGCTGTGTTGACTCATAAACTGAGACCCAACAGCAGAGAAAATGGTATTCGCAAACACCCTCGATATTTCGAAGAAAGCCGGCCGAAATCGGCACTCTGGCACCGAGCATTAACCACAAACGCGGTGTGCATAACATATGCCACTGTCGCATTCTGTGATTTAGCACTACACTACAGTTAACAGTAGCGAATGAGGTTGAAAAAGTCGGAAAATTAAACTACTGCAGGGAAAAAAATAAGAAATAAAACGAAATACGTTTTATGCAGATTAAAGGTGACGTTTTTAAATGTGGAGCAGAATGAGGTTTTTGGTGACCACAAAATAGGGTAGGTGGTGAAATGCTTGCGGTGATGGAGGTAATTCGGGTAGGCGCAAGTTACTTCTCTTCACACCATTCATTCTCCTTCCGGACCTAAAGCGTAAACAGCATAAGCCTTGCGAAACTTTTCAACGTAATGAGACTATTTCTTTAACTCAAAATACGGAGGACAGAGCTTATTTTACGAAATCGATGGATTTTGTAGGAAAAAAATAAGCTGCAACAATGTTCGAAATTAGGGATGAACTGGGGCAGAGTGCATGGATGTGCAGACAGGTTAAGCAGGAAAATCTTAAGTCGAAGCCCAGAAAAGTGAAAAAAAAGTTTTACGTCAAACATGCAAGACGACAAATTCTCAAAACTAGAAACTTGCACTTAACAAAGGTAAAAATACCTAGTGTCGGAAAACCTACCTGTTCTTCCTCCTGAGGAGTAAAGTCCGACTTAATGTTAAAAGTTTTGCGAATCTCTTCGGGTGTTTTGCCCTTAATCATGTTTGCAACTGATTTGCAGCATGTGTCAAGAAGACCCTTAATATCAAGATAGTTGGCGGCGAGAATAAGCTCGAAAAGGGTGCCTTGATCAACACGCAAGTACTCCTGATCCCAGCTGGAGATGTCATCGGTACGACGTTCTTTGTTTTCGTCGTCTTCTTGTTGTGGAGGGTCATCTTTGTGATAGTTGCACCACTGAAGGACCTTTTTCAGAATAGCTGCATTTACATATGGCAACGGGATCGGTTCATCATTTTCTGCAGCTTCTGGCCCGACATCTGCACATGCAAAAAGTTCAAGAGAAATGTAAAAGACAGCTTCCGAAAACCGAGAGAATACAAGCACATCTGGGGAGCTTGTACAGCAAAATTCAAGACACGCAGCAGAATAACTTGTGATTACATAACGTACACATATGAAAGTAGAGACTATACAAAAGCATGGATGTCGTGTCTTGAAACTAATGGACTGCACTACCGATGGGTACGATAAACATATTCCAATATACACTAATAAGCGAGGAATAAATTGTGTACTAACTGCTGTGCCAAAGCAAAATGCATGGCCGATGTGTCGGAAGACAAGACTAACGTTTGGATCATCGAACTACGAAGCGGGAATAAAAAACTGATTGGGTTTAAAACTAAACAGCGTAATGTAATCAAACTACTAAAACCACAACCAGATATCAATTAAAAATTGAACATCAAAAAAAATTACCATCTATGATATATCTTAACATCACGGACTGTCGAGCAATCTCAATATCCACCTCAAAATCAACTTCGTCGGAAGTCTGAAGCTTAATCGGCATAGTTAGAAGAAAATGCTCTCAGCGGCTAAATTAAAATTTATACAAACAAATCTCATGTCGAATTAACAGTATTAAAGTTGACATTCCATGCATTTTAAATTATTTGCATAAACGTGATTTTCAATGATGAGAAAACTCGGTTGTTAAAGACTACTGATTTTTAAGCGTGAGAACTAATTGCTCAAGTATTTAGAAATAATGGCCTCAAGATTTTTATTCACAATAGGCTCAGAATTCAAGGCATTAAAAGGTAGGTTAATTAGTTCTTTTGGTCAGCTGCTCCTTAAGTCTTATTTATTTCTTTGAATTAAATAATTATTCAGGGTTGGGAAATGGCTTAACACTATTGAACACAAAATTAAATCTTGACTTGTTATGGATTTAATTTCGATGAATTTTGAATAAACTAAACTCAAATAAATAGAACTCTATATTCTGCAAACGTGTATTTGTCTCTGCCCCAATTTGTCAATCACGTGTCCGTCACTGACAAGGAACAGTCCTTCAACTTTATTCTTCAGCCCTTCCTGTCTTACTTGCCTTTGAAAATTTCGCGAACCCCACACCTCGACTACCCCATCTACCGTCCCCCCAGTCCCACTACAAGCAAAGATTTTAATGGCAAACCTAGGCACTAGCACGCCATCGTTAAGTCCTAGTTTCAAATGGTCTCGTGCAAAGACGTCACAGAGATCATAATTATATCACTCTCGCTTTAAATTATATATTTAGCCTTTTAGTCAAAATTCCTCTGAATTTTCCTTCTGAGGCCACTTTAGAGACCTACCAAACTCTTTTCGTATCTCAACTGCCCAAGTCCGATTTCTGCAAAAGAATAATTTTTCGCGTTTGTCCGCCACTTCTACGAGACGTTTCCGAATACAGAAATTGCTATACCTCTTCCGGAAAGCCTAACAAGAAGGAGATGCAGCTTTGACTCAGTTCCAAGAAATTGCTGTTAAATTTCTTGATACCCTTTACAATATCTTTACAGTTGCTAAATTAGATTGATTCTGAAAGTACACATTCACATCCATAAATTCCTAAACGCATTAGAACCAAGCCTTCTGTTCCCTTAAATCGTGCCTCGTGTAACAGCTTTTCTCATCATTTTACTTTCTGCCTTCGCCATTATATGCCATAACTGTGTCCCACGCGCCCTTTCTCAACTCGCAATTGGGGCCCATACAGTTTGAAGGCTTACTCTCACAGGAAATCGAACAATACTCATTCAAAATGCCATCTCCTCGAAATGTGACAAACACAACTGGTGGGCGTCTTTGTTATATTAACACCTGTTCTAAGTTTCCCTTAATATTCCTCCGTTTTGCCGGTAATTTTGTTGTCTGGTAGTCCATTTGCATGTTGAATCCTAATATTCATTCAACTTCAGTGACAAAAAATGGTGATGTCTGTTCAAAACGCCATATTTCCTGAAAATCTAAATCAGTTAATCCTCCTCGTTCTCTCCGTAATCATCTCAAGAGCCCGGGACAAAGTTAATTCATTCCAAGTGCAATGTATTTCACTTATCTCTTCAGACCCTTAATGAAACCTGATACAAGACTACGGTATGCTTCCTGAGCACAAATGCGTTATTTTTTCCCCACAGGCAACGTAAGCCTTGCAACATTGATTTTAACAGCTTCTAGAACAGTTTGATGTAGATCACGATATAAAAAAAATTTATCTGCCACATCATAAATATTGGTGACGCTTCTTCTACCAGAGGGAGCTCCCAATAGCGACGAACTTTCGCGCACTACAGTAAACTCATACGGCAAGGTATCATCACCGTCTCCTCCTGATAGGTGACATCCGCTAATCTCATCAAAAAGAATATCGGGACCTTTTGCCTTGACACAGACTACTAGTCACTATACTTGTTAATAATCCATGACTAGTTTCCCATCCAGAGCATGGGTGACTTTGGTAACGCCCCGTTCAAAAAATGCAACATCTCTGCGCTTGACCTCTTTAACAGTTGAAGAAAACAAAGTTGAGCTAAACAAACAGTGAGGAGACGACTTTAACAGAGCTGTCCGGCCTCTATGATTTCTGTACCATTCCTTTGAGCAATGTCAGCGCAGCATTAACATGTCTACAGGTCATGAAGAAAGCCTAATAGAGACTTATGCAACAAAAATGTCTGGTTTAACCTCATAATGTTTTTGTGTCCCCCTGACCATAAAGAAAAGTCTTTACGTCCTTATAGTATATCATCACTTCGAAAAAAATGTTACGACTTACTGGAAGTCCATTAGTCACGTAGTGTCAAACGCTCTGTTAATTCAGACAAATTTAGCACAGTCAAGTAATGACGTAACCTAATACTACCGCTGCTTCATCCCCTAGTTCAGCCAAATCGCCTAATTACTACTGCGGATAATATCGATGGCCATAACCATTGTGCAAAGGATCGAGTGCAGAGAAGACTCCGCAAAGCACAAAAACACATTCCTCTTAGCTCCCATCTTGACTGTTTTCAACCTAGGCCCTAAGGCGAGCAGTCGTTCTGTTTTTAATGCAAAGACGTCAAACATGGAAGAGGGACTCTGAATAAGACAAAACGCAACTACAGTACAAGCAATAGTAAACATCTGAGGATCGTTTTGTTTACCAAAACGTTTACCGTTAATCATAAAAGGCGACGTTTCGTCAACTGCATCGACGAATAAGGCCACATCTGTCAACTGGACTTCAAGGAACCGTAGGATTAGCCTCTTCACTGGCATAAAGTCATGGCCGACTGTGACTTCCATCTAAAATTCTGACTGTAAAACAAGCATGAGGGGGGGAAACCATGTCTCGCCCCTCAACCATGAATTTCAATTAAAGCACACTTAGTGATATTGCTGATTTTTAAGCCATCATATTTTTTTTTTCAAATACCAATAACTAGACAAAACTAGAAGTGGGGACACACCCAAAACTATAGACGAAGATGGATGGCTGCATGGTCAACGCAAGGTGACGGCCAGAGAGATGGGTTGTCAAATTCATGGAGTATTCTCAATATAGCCACTGTGGATTAATCTTATTCTTCGTGATAACGACGTATGATTTTATTGCGACTTCTAATTCATAATCCACCATTAGTTCCCTAATTAATTCTATGTTTCAAACCTAGCCAGCTTTAATTAGCTAGGTCATCCTAGACAAAGCAAGCCAGAAAAGGCTGCGTAGAAATGTTTCCATTTGGTCAGTCTGAGACGCTAGTGCCTTCTGGCCCATGTCTGTTCCGTTTAACCGGCGTCAAGACATTGATGTTACACTATAGCAAAGCTATGTGATGATCATGCAGATTTTTTTGCTAAATTGACCAAAGCAGCATTACCTTCCAAACAGGAAGATCACTGATGCCACAACCTCATTCAATTCAGACAGTGATCCAACGTTGATATTCAGCTTGTCAAACAACTCAGATGGGCTGTGCACTGTGAGAAGACAGTTCGCTAAATAAAATGATCCCAACAACGAAATAGGACGTCGGCGACAAATTACACCACACTACCTAATTTCGTGCTGCTGCATGATGACATTCAGCCAAAAAAAATTAAACTTATTTTCATACTTCCATATCCCTCAATGAAGGACATCCTGGAAAGTTCAAATCCCCGAAGCGCAGGTAATCTTGCTTAGCAACATCTTATCTCCAGTGTGAAATATTAGTGACGTTTCCACAAGAGTTAGTGCAAAAGGGAATTTTCTAATCAAGATATTTAGCTTGACTCTACTAAGCCAACCCGACCATCGATAGTTACCAAAAGTTGCTAGATCTCTATAAACACCCATTCGCATTTGTCAAATGATTCCCCAAAAACACTAAGAACATCCATCCGGCCTCCGACTTGCTTTCCGATGCAACGACCTTAAACCCTGACTGCAAGTGGTCTACATTTGCTTTAGACAACTCAGCTGATCACACTGCTGAGATAGCTGCTGTTGAATATAAAGTAGAGGAAGTCGTGGGTACATACATTATTCTGGATCTGATGCTACGTTTATAACCACTAAAGAGCATGCTCCTACAATGTGGTACATCTGCATTGCATTTATTATAGCTAAAAACTTCATTTCTTCACTCATATATTCGCGGTGCATGCAAGTATTTCAAATGAACTTGTACTTAACTTCGAAACTAATGCGCCTGTAAACCGGATGATTCATTGCTGATTCCCATAAAGCAATATTCTACAATATCTCTAAATTGTAATATTTGATATGAGCAGTAGTATTTTGGTTTATATGTAGTGATTTAAAAATTGCGAAATTTTTTACTTGAAGCAGCATTAAAATGATCATTAACGAAAAGCTTAACCAATTGAAACATGCTAATGACGATTGGTTTAAAGGCAAGTCCTTTTTTGTTCTGTGTCAAATAATGTCTCTCGGTCAAAGGTACGGCCGTGGTTCTCTTCAGGTCCTTTCGAAATTTAGTTTAAGCAACTTGGTTTAACAAAGCCCAAATTTCTGTTATACGTTTAGGTGGTTTTTCACAAACAAAGCGTTTTACCTAACAGGAGTTCTGGAATATATTAACTTGAATGTCTCCTTATACTTGTAGACATGGTGTTTTCTGCTCTCCCAGCCTTGTTTATTCAAGACCTTGGTGCATTGCATTCTTAAAAAAGTACCGCTGACACCTTTTTTCGAATATACATTTCATAATTGACTTTAGCTTGATTTAATAAGTTGTGCATGTGACATACACTAATAGCATTTGCGGCTCATGTATGATTATTGATCTAAATCTGCCTAATTTAAAGGTTACGGTCTTTTGGAATGCATAGTGTACATTTCGCTCAGCTTGATGGGATCATTCGTTTTGCACATTCGAACAGTCTCTTACTCTCACGTGCACAACACCCTAAATGGTTGCACCATAATGCTTGAAATGCATGTTCATACCTCATAACTTTAGTCTAGTTTCTTACGGTCTTAAAGTAACTTCACATCCTCGTGTACTTACATCTGCATCCTCTTTAAGTACCAACTCCCACTTTCTTATACTACTGTCATTTAGGTTTGGATAGACATATCCAGAGTACAAACAAATGGTAGAAGCTGGTTCCGGGGAGTGCCCTTTCAAAAAAGATTCTTCATCTACTCCCACTTTCTCAGGATGTCCCATGGGAGGCGATTCCCAGAACGCGGTCGACCCATTAAACATGGTAAGTTTTACAAAGTCGTTTGAACGGGCTCGATGTTATCTTACATCAACTATGTCAAAAATAAAGTCACTGACTTCCGGATAAATTCCTCTCCCTTGCGTGCAGATGCCACAAGAAAGTCAAACCCCAAGTCCTGGTCAGCCATTTCCGCTTTCAACCAATCGTGAAGTGTCTAGTATCCCCAAAGCAGATCCGAAAGATGAAAACATCCAAAATTGGGTATATCCATCACCCCAGATGTTCTGGAACGCGATGTTACGCAAAGGTTGGCGTTGGAGTAGCGACCAAATCAGTCCAGATGATATGGAGAATATTGTGCGCATTCACAACGCGAATAACGAGGCTGCATGGGCCGAGGTATTGAAATGGGAGGCGATGCACTATCGTGAGTGCAAGACGCCAAAATTACGAAAATTCGCTGGTGATGCGAAAAACTATTCTCCAAGAGCTCGAATACGCCACTGGATGGGCTATGAATTGCCATTTGATCGCCATGACTGGGTTGTTGATCGCTGTGGCAAAGATGTGCGATACATAATCGATTACTATGACTCCGATAAAATTGATCCGGACTACAAGTTCGCTCTGCTCGATGTTCGCCCGGCTCTTGACTCATTTTCTGCTCTTCGAGATCGTATGCGCGTGGTTTGGAGGCGTTGGAGATTTCCTGAACCTCCCGTCCGACCATCCTCTTGACAGCGAGTGTGTTGGCATATTTTCATTTGGTTCTACTACCTGCCTTTTTGAAATACACTAAATAGTGGATCGCCACAGTCAACTTTTTGTTGCAGGTTTCACTGACCGCATTACCTAACTGACCGTTGCGGGTGCGATATTTCATCAGTCAGGTCAAAGTCTGTTCAGCGCTAATCTGTTGGACATGGATACAATAGATACGTTCATAGAAGAATCACAGAAGGTCAAGAACGTGTAGAACTAGTGTCTGCTAGATGTTTAACTGAAAGGGCCAATGTTTATCTCGAGAAGTCATATTTCCCAGTCCAGATTGTCGTTTGCGCAACTCAAGCCCTCTAATTTAAAGCGTTGGATGTTAGTGTAGCGTTATTTCTCAAAAGGGTATTCCAAGCTGTAAGATACACCAGCCATTTTGCCACTGGGTTCCGGAAGTAGTCTCACATTAGGAAGTCAACACAACCAAAGCCTAAAAGTGCCATGAAGAAGAACAGTGAGGTGGCTCTTTGTTGTGTGTTAGTCATCTGGTCCACTAACAAAGGTAAGTAACGTACTGTATAACTGACAAGCCTATGAAGCCAGACGCTTTCTGAGTGCCAAGTTCGACGGATGATAAATTGGGTGGTTTAGGTAATTGCTTTGTTATATTTACAAAGTGGGTCAGACTAGGTTGGATTCCTCTTCTGATTCTCAAGTCTAGGACAGGAAGCTTGCTGTTTCGGTTGGGCGATCCTTTTGCTGATTAGGGAAACCAATGATGGCTGGTTACCTTGATGGGGCAATTGCGGTACAAGAACTAGTTTGTAGTGTGCCATGAAGCAAGGTCTCCCAATCACAGCGTTGTTGAAATTTTTCCCGAAATCGACGCTGTGGGGAAAACGTGTTTTTTGGAGAAAAAAAAAATACAGATTCACAACATGGTCATTGCTACGTTAACAGAGAACTAGGAAGCGCACCTTTGGAATTGGGCCGCGCTGGTTACCAACCACATTTTAACGAGTGCTCTAGAACACCTACATACAGAGAATGACTGATGGACTTGCTAGGGGTGAATGCAGGCCCAACTACATGAGTGCATTCAAAGTCATGCCGCTGTTATTGAAAAAAGGTTGCTATTCACACCTAAATTAATACGGGGTGCTGAACTCGTCCGTATTGCCATGACAGACTCCTACCAGAACTACCCCAACGAGAACTTCCCAAAGACAATCCATGCCATGTCTGTGCAAATCAAACGTGTCACATGACACGAGAAGGTGATTTTTAACCAGATTTAAGTATAGAGACGATGCTGGGTCGAATCTTGGTGAACGACGGTGGTACCGCAGACGTTAGCTTCCATGTCATCTACAGGACTCAGTGAACACAACTACGATTTACGATACCAAAACGCCAACTTAACAACTAATGTCCAGCTGAATTTCGCCAAATTGTTGACCAGGGAATTTCATGGTGCCCTATAGCTCTGTCAACGGAAAGGACAATACGAATAACTCCTACCAATGTGCAACCCAATTAGAAACAATCTCAAGCAATATCTGGTGTTCTCCTGGCAGTGATAACAAGGAATCGATATCAACCATAGTTGCAGGAAAAGAGACCACAATATGTGTTCCAAAATCGACGAGGGTAACTATTGAAAACGCGGCCTTCTTTAAGATTCATCCTTATGATGAGAATGAGGGGAGTTGCGAATAAAGAAACTGAAAAGCTATCACACAGGAAAGCTACAGAATCCGTTTGCACTGGAACCGGGTAACAAGCCCTATTACGAACATGCGAAAAGCAAAAACAATAAAAGGGACGGTTCCTGAACCTGACCACAACATCGGTGGCCGATTGGAAGGGAACGATACAAGAAAGCGCACTACCCAAGACATGAGGAAACCCAACGACAAAAGAAGGAAGTCTGAGCGAGTGACAAGCAGTGCACGCACCGGGCAAGAAAAGAACAGCTCAACTGGTATCCTCCGACGAAGGAAGCAACTCATACATACGAAATTCATGAACCACGGGCAGCCATTATGCAAAATAAAGTGCGTCCGTGAAAACAATCGGATTCGATGATACGCCTATTTTCTCGCTAGTCAAAGGTCTAATTTACTATAGTGACTATTGGAGTGAGTTTGTTAAGGAAGACGAAAGTGGTACTTCAGAGCCAAAGCGGACCGAATATTTCAGGCAGACTGAAATAATCACAGCCTCTTGAACTATTTAACTTGCTCCGATGCTGCCCGCTTTGATTACATGCAGATTTTGGCCATATCGAGGAAGAAGTGGCAGGAATTGCTTTGGGAAATTTAGGCCATTAATGCAGAGCACCGCTCGGAAGAGGAGTTCGAACAAAAAACACTTGTTAAAAGAGGCCCTGAGGATGATCGAGACACAAACGCCTCCACTAGTACCAACAGAGTCCGTTCCGTGCTACTGTAAAGGCTAAGAAGTGCTTTGGATGGCAAACCTCTGCAAAATCAGACGAAGAGTAGACAATATTAACCATGCAGTGACAAGACCTCAAGTTTGCACAGCTAACCACCTAATTTGACGAGAGAAAATCACTAGAAAGGCGTCCGACAGTATACACCAGCGGTCCGCTTCGCGTGTTTTCTGGTACTTATAGGTTGGCTTCGGATACTTTGCAAGAGTTTAACCATTCCGCCATATAGGCCACAACCCTCTCTAACACTACCAACTGTGATACACAAAGTGATAACCTCCAATAAATAACTAAGACTGTAAGTTGAATGTGGGCGCTTGATCGACGTACACTTCCAGTCATTGGCAGCATCCGGATTTTTGCAGAGGGTCACAGCCGCAGTGGAATCACGCGCAACAAGGGCCCTCTAACGGTGCGTTGCCAATGCCAATATGGCGAGGTGCACTGGAGACGCGATAATATGCAGTCGTCAATGCCAGCTTTACAGGCTACACATGCTATCCACAATGACGGCCTCTACCTACACTACGCGCCTGTAGGCATTAAGTCAGTCACATCGCACTTGAAACACCACCTCACATTTTTAAATGCTTAAAAGAGAACTATTCAATTTGGAATTTTGATAAAAAACAGCTATGTCAAAGATACTTTATACATGGAACAGAAAATACTTCCACACACTGAAAATAAACGTCTCCGTTATCAACTGTCGCTAGTAATATCTTCGTTTCTTGCCTAAGTCCAAAGTCGCTTAAAATACGACCATTAATTCGGAAGTCTGCGTCGTCTCCCAACAATACAACAACGAGCACGAAGTCTGGCTCCCTAGCCCCACGCTTCCTAAACTGTTTAGTTCGATCACTATTCCGATCATCGAAAACATTGAACAAAATGGGTGGTTGCGTTGCTCCACCTTCGGTTGACGTCTTGGGTCTAATCCATTCATTCAATCGATTCGGTCCAACAGGTTTTAAGTCGGAGGGGGACGCCGTGGCGAACATTTCATCCGTTTCGCATGCTTTTGCATACTTCGAGGCCTTTGTGGATACGGAACTGTCCAGTTCCACCTTGATTGTCTTTCTTGTGAAAAGCTCGTCCGTACCATCGGATTCGAGATCCATCGGGTCACGTCTTCTTAATACGAATCCCTGTCGTACAAGTCTGACGTAGGTTGTGTAACAGGCATAGGTGTAAGCATCTTGAAAAAGCGCGTTCGTTAGCTGCTGTAAGCTCAATGGTAGTCCCCGATCGTAAACATTAAGGCAACCAGACTCCGCCAAGTAAGCAGCTTCTTCTGGATATAGGTAGTGATTACCGCCACGGACAGAAAATCCATGTTTGCGGAGGAATTTACCACGCACCGATGTGAGTTTCACCAGGGGACCTGGCGTTAAGCAACCTTGTGCAGTTCGGCAATCAAGTGACGTGTACTCATGATGTAACTGGTCGAAAAGATGAGACAGACAACGTTCTGCAACTACCGATCCAGGCGGTGTGCAAATGGTTTTACCGTCAAAAGGAACAGAAGCTGAAGTACCTCTACAGTTCTGTATAATGTTGAAAAGCTCCTTGCCAACCAAAAGTTTATCCTACAAGAGAAAGTAGGCCTGTCTTATGACAATAATATTTGGGACCTTGATCCTCCCATTAAACAATATAAAATCACAACTAATCCCTTTGGGCCGCCCTTTTAACTCCTCCAAAGCAGCAAAAATCTACGTCGTTAGCGTTACTGATAACCGACAGGAACATATAATACTTGACCAATATGGCGAAATCTGGCATAAATTTGGCTTTATTTTGCATTCTGTACAAAAAACACCATTAGTAGTTAAAACGCTCCCGATATTGTTTTGCTTTCTCTTGGTATTTGTTTAGAAGTAACAAGAAGAATCTGCAGACATTAAATGGATATATCTTGCAGCAAATTCCATAACCCTTGATCGTGTTGATAATCAGTGCCCTCGCATCAGATGCGTACATGGGCTAATGTATGTTACAGGCCAATAGCTAACTGCATTCAACTTAGAAAAACTAACTAGCTCAACATCCACTGTTAATTTTTACTACTGAGTTTACCTAAATTATTTTATTTATAATAATCTAGGCCTCGGGTCTGATAAAAAAAGCCCTTCTACACGATATGACATATCTTCTTTTTGGTTATACGGACAGAAAGGAATGAGGTTAAGTATTACTAACGTTAAGGATCCCTCTAACTAAAACGACAAGCTAATCAGGTGTCAGATATAACCACCAATGATCAAGTTGTAAAAAAATATTTAGTTCCGAAAGTTAGGTAGCCCTAAGGATGTCGACCACTATTCAGGCAACGTTCAAAAGTGGTTTGATGGATAGAAGAATTCAGAATGCGCATTTTAAATCAATGCACATCGAGATTATTACTGTAAAACGTCAGGATTTGACAACGATAGCCTAAAATGACCGACAACCTAAACCAACAAATGCATCCTGTGTGTCTTCACATCAGGTTTACGAAAATATTGCGCTGCTTTATACTCATTATAACAGAAGCAATTATTCTGGCAGTGAGCCGAACGAACTAATTACTAAATATGTAAAAAAAAGATTAAAGTTTCAATATGCTGTTAAGCGCAAACGTGAATGCTTGTATATTCGAGAGGAAAAAGTGTGAGGTATAACCTTCCAGAGACTACATAGATTTTCAGGAGTGTGGGCTATAGCGTTCGAGGCATCAGTCGACAAACAGCCTTTAGGGCACCGTAACTAACTGCTCCACAAGTCCCTTTACCCAGGTAAGAACTAATAAAAGATCTTTTATGAAGATCTGATACATCTGACGTATTGTGAAAGGTAAAGCTCAATACCGTACACGGGGTGGATAATTTTAAAAAAAAGTGATGCCAAGTTTCTGGTAGGGGCAATTTGACTAATATTTAATTGACCGGCCTATTAGGCCTGACAGCAGGCAGTCGGACAAAAAACAATATGCATTGAAGAAGTCAGGTAAGTAAAGCACAATGGATTATGATGAATTGATTCAACAAGGGCATCAGGTTTGCAATCAACATAAACCCCACGAGGCATAATACCAGAACCAAATTTTACAAATTACTGCTTATACTATTACGAAAAACTTGATTTTCTTGATGAGCCGTGCCATAACATACATCTAAAATTTCATACAACCGTACGGAACTACACATGATCCGCTCTTATATTCATATATTTATAGATAAAAACCGGCAAAACTACTATCATCACGACTTGGGACTAATTTTAGGATAGGTATAAGAACGACAAATTAATTTACCATGCGATAACGAACCTAATTTGCAGGTACCTAGACTTCGCGGGCGGGTTCACCACTAGACTGTTTCATCCAACCAATGCTCGCTAAGAATGAATCAGTGTGAATCCTAAAGAGTTTCCAAATATCTTGTGACTACTCTTACATGCGGATTTTCTTCTAGCATATCCATAATAAATAATAGTGACTGGTTGCCATCTCTTAGTAAATTACCGTATGTATTATGGTCTTGTTTGCTAACATTCACCAAAGTGAGTGACACCTTGTGTTCATTGGCCAATAAAAGCGATGTCCGCCTTCTAATTATTTAGTTTTATGAGGATGGCGTCGACATCTAAGAGAGTTCAATTGAGTGCCGTTCAGTCAAACATATTGAACTATGTAGTCAATATGCATGGCAGCCAAGCCAATGGCCACAGATCAGCATGGATTGCGTTGCTGGCTCATGCCTATTTAATTTCACGGGGTTCGATATTGACAGAAAGTCCTCAGTCCCTGACCAGTTTGTGCATCTTACCAAATGGATGGGCGTCCACTGATCCAATTCGATTTCATTATCGTTTTTCAGGTGTCGCGAATGTGTATGAGAGTACCTCGACCCACAGTTCTTCAAAATACTCGGTAATTTTTTTACGTAGCAGATGGGCCATTATTAATTATAGTTCTTGAAAAATGTGTATTCTCGTTAAAGCTATCGGGAATTGGCTTTTGTTTTGTACTTCGCCCAACTATTTACAAGCAAAGTCGTATTCTTTTAGCTTCAACTTTCTGTTACTCAAGCTGACAACAACGTTTTCGTTAACCTGACGAATCTCACTAATGACAAGTTTGGTCATCTTGAGATTTCTGGTCCTGGCCATGTGCGTCTTGAGGCTGTTGTATCTGATAGTGCTCTTCAGCCAACCGCAATATTTCCTCAGTTGGAATCTACCCTCTTTGAGATGGAAGAGAAACTTTGGAAGCCAGTGTTCCCGAGTCCGCCTCAGTCGAAACCCGGCGTTAACCCATTTATGTCGTCACCACCAAGTGTAGTTCAGCAACCAGTAAGTTTCTTCCCCAAGTGTATGGATTCTAGTAAATAGACAACTCCACAACTCATTGGGTCCTAACGGGTGGTGGAGATAGGTCGTGGGCAGTTTCGTTTTGCTTGCAACATGTCTTATTTGAAAACTAGTAAATTCCTGCCTTTACTTTAGGCAGGCTATATTTTGTTTGGGGTTGAGTGTAATAAGTGCTTTTAATACTATGCTCCTTAGCATCAATAGAATTGATGGTCTTTGCTGACCCAGATTCTTTTCAAATGTGCAGGATCCACATTCCTGTATGTTAGCCTTTGAATCATCAAATTCCTGCAAATCCAATCAGAGGATTCCAGTACACGTGGATTCCACATCTTATCGGATGACATAATAACCACTTCCTTTTGTCCACTAAATCGTTTAAAAAACTCGGTTATTGACCTTATAATTGAAATTGTCATGTTTACTCGAGACATGTTTTGCATTTATCTTTTTTAACCATAACACAACTGTAAAAACAGCTAGTTACCTCACCTTAGAGTAATTGACGATCAGTTATAAAAGTTTTTGTTTTTAAATTTTATGAATTTTGCAAAGATCGGTTTCGCCAAATCATGGTAGTGTTGCTTAGGCGATAGTGCAATAATATTTCACTAGTTCCTCTCAAATTTGCTATGATTTCAGTGACTTAAATCAGTGTCAGGCTATTTAGTTATACCATCGTTCAAAATGTGGTTTATGTGGTTTTCATATTAAAAACTAGAGATTGGTCCTAATTTAACTTTAAGGCAAGTCACCCAAACACAGGAGTTTACCCAAATGTACCTGACTATGGCCGGAGCGACCTTGACCCCCTCGGAGGGGAGCCTGGAAGTAGACTGCCCTTTGGGGGTGGTGGAATGGTTATCGATCCAACTCAAGCCCTTCGTCGACCAAATCCTTTCGGACTGCCACATCCCGGTGGCGGGGGTATGGTGCCTCCTGGGGCACGCTATGATCCCATTGGCCCACCCATGATTCCACCAAGGGGGATTGGACCTCGCGGCGGCCGTTTCAACAACCCAGATCCCGACTCTCTTCAACCACCAGGATGGGAGGACATGTACATGTAATATCAACTTTCCACAATACCCATGTGCTCACTTTTGATCCTCGTTAATTTTCTCTATTTCCGTTCCATGAATTTAGTTCAGGTCATGCTTTTCATGTTAGGGTCAGGGGGAATGACTCGCGTCATCGCATATTTGGGTACCTCCGAATAGAGTAACTCGTATTAGTATATTTCTGTTGATACATATTCGTAGAATACCAAGGTCTCCTTTTGCGGAACGAACAATCTGGGAGACTTTAGAACTCCATACCCACACTCCGATAAGAGCGTCCTGTTTTAGTGACAGTTTAGCATCCCACTAGACCGAATCGATTGAATGAATGGATTAGACCCAAGACGTCAACCGAAGGTGGAGCAACGCAACCACCCATTTTGTTCAAT